TTTTTGCTAATTAATTAACAAAAATATTTAAAAATCGAGTTAAAACTTTTTTTTTTTTTTTCCATTATTCCTTTTGATATTCGCCCCATAGATATTCCCTCTTCGGCAGCGCTGCTTGAGGGCTTCGCCCGAACCCCATCCCAACGGGGGGAGGCGAAACACTGCCGAAATTTTAGTAAATTCCCCAAGTTTTATTTCTACCCCTAAAAATCATAAAACTCGGCGGGCTTATATATGTATTGATCCTTAATATATATAAACTAAGAAATAAATTTTATCTTAACTAAATATATTTTCTTTAATTTAAAATTAAAAAATACGAAAGAATTCCCTAGAAGAAGAAGGGAAAGAGACGCTACGGTAACCTGGTTTCGGGTGAAGCTACTAGCTTGTTCCCGAAGGCGTGAGGCAAGCGACGAGAATTTTCAGTTATTAATCTACACCTCCCTCTTGCTGCGTTCTCTCTAGCCGCCAGTTGAATGTGGCCGCGGGTGCAAGTAGAGGTCTATGGGGCTACCATTGACTGAGACTTGGAGCCCCCTGAACTCATAGAGGGGGATCTGGTCGAGCTCACGATCCCCGGGCGCACTATTCGACACGTTGACGGCCAGTTTGCGTGGAGGTCCGTAATCTTGTCCGAGGACGTGTGGATTTCGACGTACAGAGAGCACCGGCCGGGGAAAGGAGTGGGCGTAGTGAGAGCCTACTTGTATCTGGGACCGGGTGCGGTCAGGGAGGCAGTGGTGGGCCTCGCGACGACAGGGACTAGTGGCACAGTTAGCAGGGCGTTACGCTACCTGGGGGAAGAGGTAGCCGCCTTCCGAGCGGAGGACTCGAGCGACCCGTTGACCCTATTTCATGGACGCCCTCCTCTTGATATCACGGGCGAGCTGGTGGTATCACGGGACGGGTTTTTCCCGTACAGCGTTAGTAGCCTGCGGGCGATAGTTCCGACGTTCGTAGTAGAGAGCGTCTTTGGAGGTATTGGTGGAGTGGTCGAGACATACCTGGCCTATCAGGATCTCAAGATCCTGGCGAGAAGGCCTGCCGACCTAGACTACATCTATTATTCGCTCGCAACCGGTGGGCCTCGTTGCGGAGACGAGAGGGTTCAGCTTATAGAGCTGATCCGCTCGATAGACGACGAGTGGCCCCAGTCTCCGTGCGTTTGGGATTGGCTAGATCGCGAGCTCCGAGCAAGCCCCGAGTACGTGACCTGCATCGGGCGGCTCTTCTCAGACGACTGGGAGAGCTGGTGGAGTGAGGACGCCGGGCGACCTCTAATATATGGCCATCAGTTGGCGCAATACTACCAGGGTATAAGACAGGCGTCATACCGCGTCGAGGACGAGTTTGACGACGAGGGTTGGGAGCGAGAGGACGATGAGGATGCCTGGGAGCCAGACTGGGTCGACCCAGAGAGTGAGGTTGACGAGGAGGAGATTGACGTTACAGACGCCCATTTTCCCAAGATAGGAGTAGCAGTCCGGACGTAGGAGGTAGAGGAGCACATAAGGGCGACAGTTGAGTGAGCTTAGCTACTGATCTTACTCGACCATACTGGACCTGAGTGCGAGAGTTGTCTGAAGGGTTAGCAACGTCGAGAGATGGGGTGCATCGGAGGGAGTAGAGTGATGCTGACCGAGAGTAGGAGAAGAGATGAGGAGTGATTCAGTGGCCTGGTTAGCTTATGTTCTCTCGCGAGAGTCCGAATCGTATAGTGGGAGGAAGCTTGTGGGACCCAGAGAGACGGCGGTTGGATACGACATACCACTTCCTGTGTCGTTAGAAAAGGCAGGGCGTGTACCGATACGATACTTGGGAACGTGGCTCGCACAGGGGCTCTTCCTTTGGACAGTGATACTACGAGACGAACGACCCAAGAGGACTCATGATCTAGAAGGGGTCGGACATCTGATAGCGGATAGAGCACACGATTTAAAGATAGGACTAACGCTCGCAGGGGCGAGCAGGAGTTGGTGGAGAAGCGAGTTGTTGGCCAGAGTGATCCTTAATCAGCAATTGGCGAGACTCTCTGGAGGGAGGACGAGTTGGAGCTGCTTGGTATATGGTCCACCACATCCGACCCTCTACCCGAGAAAGGATTGGCGATTCGGACTTCCTACCTTMRTRATAGGGCAGACCTATGGGAGCGTGGATCGTTTGAGTAGAGCAGTGGACCACACACTTTACGCGCTCTGGGAGGGCTTAGCGCCCCGCTTCAAGGAAGTATACTACGCCATTTGTGTGAGGTGGGGGCCGCCCAGTAGAGAGACGCTTGACGACATCATAGACGTTACTAGCTGGGTGGACTGTCTGAGACCAATCGATCTGATTAGGTACTGCAGGAGACGGGCAGACATCGATTACGCAGGGCTAGAGGATGTGAGATTTCTCTTCGAGGCCGCAGCTTAGGGAATGTCGGGAAGGACGGTCACGGTGATGCGTGAAGAAGAGCAACTGGTAAGCGCGAGATGCACTGTGACAGTACTTCTCCGAGCGTACGTAGACGAGGACTTGACAGCGAGTGAGTGCGACAACGAGCTAGGGATTTGATCCACGAGTGTAGAGGTGATGTACTGGCGCGAGTGACCTTCCAGACCTCGATTTCCTATGATGTGATGATATGGTCTCATGGTTATATGCGCGCGGAGCACTACCACGATGAGACGGTAGTGGAGGCTAGAGCGAGGGTGAGAGGGTGAGCTGGAGAAAGATGTGGACTGAGTATGGAAGAGGAGAGTGAGGCAGTCGGAAGAGTGAGAAAGCGCGATAAAGAACCACTCTTGAAACAGGTAAAGAAGTTGGGGGACAAGTTAAGGGAGATCTCATCGTGTCATGATGAGGGCAAATTGCGTAGGGCTGAACTCGTGACGAGAGAGTTAGAGAATCTGTTTAGAGAGGAAAGAGAGATTATCCAGGCGTGGAGATCGGACTTTCTGGAGAGGGTAAAGGCAAGAAGCGTATCACGCGAAGGAACTAGTGACTGATCTACGGAGAGCGAGACAACGCAAGACAAAGTAACGCAGGGAAGTAGCGACAGGACATGAGCGGGACTGCACTACACACGACGGATCGGTACTCATTATATGTGGTAGGGAGACTGGACGGACCATTAGTGTTAGTGATCATAGAACTCCAGCTCTATACCAGACTGTGCATAGTTGAGGAGGCAAAGTGTGTCTGTCGCGCGCAGCGTGAGGCTAGGGGGACAGGACTTTGGATTGGAATAGAAGGAGGACGGAGGATAAAATACGTACTCCAAGTGACACCTTTCGAAGGGCGGTCTCGGATAAGGGCATGGTACGAGACGACCAGAGAGGCTGAGAGGTTGAAGATAAACGAAGCTAGGAAAGTTGGAGAGTTAGGGAGAGTTGTAACAGATGGTGCAATACTCAGAGTGTTAGCCGCTCACGACCGGTACTGGAAGGAATCGATAAAGACTTTAGAGGCGATAGAGGATGGTGGAGATAAGGAGGACTTTGAGACATTTTATGACATATTGGAGCGCTCGGCGATGAGGTTACAAGTSGTTATAGCACTAACTTACCTCAGCTGCTAGACAGAAGACCTCGTAACCGTTGAGGAGATAGGGTAGTGGAAATAGAAATTGGAAGCTCTTGGAAGGATAGAGGAAGCTAGAAAGGTCGATGGGCGACATTGGGCGACAGTAGGAGGGCCTTTAGCGGGCTAACCGATTCAGACAGGGCTAGAAGAACTAGCAAGGAGGACTTTGAGACATTTTATGACATATTGGAGCGCTCGGCGATGAGGTTACAAGTGGTTATAGCACTAACTTACCTCAACTGCTAGACAGAAGACCTTGTAGCCGTCTGGGAGATAAGGGAGTGGAAATAGAAATTGGAAGCTCTTGGAAGGATAGTGGAAGCTAGAAAGGTCGATGGGCGACTTTGGATGGCAGTAGGAGGGCCTTTAGCGGGCTAACCGAATCAGGACAGGGCTAGGAGAACTAGCAAGGAGGACGGAGATAGACGCTCGGAGACTCTTGAGGGGTGTAGATCAGGAGACATTGGCTAGGTTTGGGACTGCCATCTGTCTCAAGGATAGAGGTCCAGTCACGGGTGTACTGCAGATACAGAGATGCTTTAAATAGAGGGAGAGCACGAGATCCGCGACCGGTACGAGATACTGGAAGTGGTAATCAAGGCAGTCGAAAGCTAAGATTGGAGGCGGACGCGAGCCGTGACAAGGAAACAGGTCCGGGCTGTCGCAACTGTCACAGGTCCAGGCTGCAGCGACTGTCATAGGGTCGGGCTGTAACAGTTGACTAGAATACCTAACTGCATCTTCTGGCGGTCCAATGGAACCCGACACGATGGGGCCACAACCGACCACGGGCGAAGCGGGAGAGGAGTACAGGACATCGCTCGATCGGGCTCTGAGGGATTTGAAGGAACGGATTAGGCGAGAAGCACCGCTGAGATGGGCTGACCAAACCAATGACGGAGGGCCCGAAGTAAGGGGCGAATCAGTTGCGACAGAGCCGCAGGAGATTCTAAAGACGGGTACCTCGAGCGAACGACGAGAAGCGACGAAGCGACGCTCCCCCGAGTACGAGCGGAGGGACACCATAGCGGACATGCACAGAGACGACTGGAGAGAGAGTTTGAGGGATTCCTATAGGAGGGATAGAGAAAGAGACAGGGTGCCGCCCAGGCGAGTCTTCGACCCCCAGACAGGGGAGTCACATCTGCTCCCTTATGAGAGCAAGGATCGCTATATTATTACGCACAAGGCCTCAGAGCCTCCTACCTTTAGGGGCTATGGTATCACAGAATATCTGGAGAAGTGGGAGCTTCACGCCAGCCGGAGTCAGTGGTCGGAGGAAGAGATTATAAAGAACTTCCTATTTAATGTGGACCCAAGTCTCGGTAGGGAAGTTAAGGAAGCTCGACCGAAGGCTAGAAAATGGACTACGTACAAGAAGAACCTCGTTGAGCTTTACAAATTGGAGGATAACAAGTATTCNTCGACCGAAGGCTAGAAAATGGACTACGTACAAGAAGAACCTCGTTGAGCTTTACAAATTGGAGGATAACAAGTATTCCATCAAGGACCTTGAAACTATGACTCAAGATGAAGATGAGAGCGTACGAGCATTTGGGATGCGTTTCCAGAAGATCTCCGACGTGCTGATGAAGAAGGGGAAGATCTCAGAGGTCGAGCGCTGTACTATCTTCATCGGACACTTGTCCAAAGGTAGGCAAAAGAGTTTACTTAGAGATCTTCCGCGCGACAGGCTTGATTTCCCAGAAGTCCTAAAGCTCGCGATAAAGGCAGAGGCAGACGATTACAAGGACTTGGTGTGGAGAGGGATGARGAGACGTGACTTCTCTCTCTACAAGGAGTATGCCACTGATAGATGTCCTGATTTCAAGGACTATCCCTGGTCGGAAAAGAATGAGGCCGTGGCTGAGGAAGTGAAGGAGATACGGGACATGGTGAAGGGATTGACGAGACAGGTTATAGAGATTGTGACCACTACAGGGGCAACGGCCTACCGGGACAAACCTGGAGGGCCCTATTCACTTCGCTGGGACCATAGGAACAACGATTCCTGGAGGAGTGTCGAGGATAGAAATCCTCGAACCCTGACTGATTATCGTACGAGGGGAAGAGAGAGAGACGATGAGCCATGGCGACGAAAGGACGATGAGATAGACCGAGACCGCAGACATCGCGAGCCATTTGCGCGAGCAAGGAGGCTGGATGATTACCCGCGAAGCCCTCGCTATGAGGCCGACCGGGATAGAGGCGACTCCCGCGGCCGATGGGAGACAGATCAGGGCCGACGAGATGGATATAGGGACAACAGATACGAGAGATCGGACCGAGATGGATATAGGGATGACAGATACGAGAGATCGGACCGAGACGGGTATAGGGATGACAGATACGAGAGGTCGGGACGAGATCGCTACAGAGGTGGTAGGTATGAAAGAGGAGATCGGGACTGGGAACGACGAGATGGTTCGCGCGGACTGTTTGAGCGCGAGGGAGATGCGAGAGAGCAGCGCGATGGGTCGCGGGGGTGGTACAACCGAGGGGACCGACGCGATGAGTCACGAGGGCGATATGACTCAGGGGACCGCCGGAATGATTCGCGAAGGCAGTATGAGCAAGGAGGGTCTGGAGGAGACCGCCGCAACGATTCGCGCGGTCGGAATGAGAGAGGGGGATATGGCGTCTCATCAGAACCATATCCCAAGTCGCCTGACCCCAAGGCAGCCAGGAGTTCGATGTCGAGAAGCGCAGACGACATGCCATCTACTCCCAGGAACTCATGCATTTACTGTAGAGGAGAAGATCATATCAAGAGGGATTGCCCGGACCTCAAATGGGCAATAGATGAGGGACTTGTCGTGCTTGACGACCGCAAGTACGT